AGCGCATGGCTGTCGTAAAAAACCCCAAACCCTAAAGCCCCAAACCATCATGGTGACCCAGGCTTTGGGAGCTCTGGCGCCAGCTTTGGCCCTTAGCCTTCAGCCCTCCTTCGTTCAGGTGCCGCCTTTGACCGCAGAGTTTGTCTAAAGTGGGGGTGTAAAACGTGGCCCATGTGAGACTCATGTAAGGCGTCTGTAAGGGTAATGGTGCTGAATGAGGTCTGTATGGGTATTTCTCAAAACACGCCGTACAGAATCCCAAATAAGGATACCCCATACTCCCCTAAGAGTCCTCATAACTGAACATCTCTATTGGGCCCCATTTCGAGAAACCCTCACGTGGGAGGGGGGACTTCTGAAGCTGGGGTCCATGGGCCTTACTCCCTGGCTTTTGGTGATGTGATTGCTGTTTGCTTTTTGGGTTTAATGTGCCCGTTGCTGACATGGCGGTGATGGCAATAGGGCGACTTATGCCATGGGCGGATATCTAAAGGGAACAAGGCAAGGGGTCTGCAAATTAAATAGGAGTTGGGCGTTGACTCCTTCATGATTTAAGCAAGAAAGTCTATCACCCGTGCCATAGGAAGTTGCCTAGCGCTCCACTGCGCCATGGAAATCTGTTGCCAGCATTGGTGGCAGATACACGTAGCAATAATGCCAGTCCAACCAGCATTACTAGAAAGGAGCCACAACAGGAAAACAAAGGTAGTGAGTATTCACCACCAAAGCAAAAAGTATTAATGGTGATTTTACTAGCAATGTTAACCATAGTAGCAGTTTTCAACATAGCAGCCATAGACCTTACGGTATCCTGAGCAAGCATGGCAATATCAATCCCCTCCCGAAATTTAGAAGCGCCCCCAACCTACCAGTGTTCCCATTATGGTATATTACCATTTGTATATGGTAGTTCGAAAACTTAACGCTTTTCACCACAAAGGCTTGCGCAAGATCTTGGGCCTAGACTCTACGTATGTTAATCGTGCAAACACCAATGCAAGACTTTTTGAAGTTGCAACGCAAGCTGCTGGACGGCCGATAGTTTCTTTCAGCCAAATGCTGGACGCCAGAAGAGTCAAACTAGCAGGACATATCCTCAGAGCTAATTCAGATCCCCTCCGACAGATTAGCTATCAGCCCAACACTACAGAGCCATTTGACATTGGACGCAGACGTGTAGGGCGACCCAGACAGCAATGGCTACATGAGGTCAACAGCTTGATCTTTTCACAGGTCTCCCACTATACTTATGACAATTCAGACTATCAAAACGACCTCATTCTGCAACAAGCTCAGCTGCGAAATGTTTAAGTATATCCCATCCCAGTGCCGAAGCGCAAGTCAATCTGCAACCGCAGTATGCGCATGGCTCTTGAAAAATATGGGTAGTTCCCAAAATTAGGGTCCCATTCTGGTTCCCCCTAAATCTTAGGCGCCATAGTAGAATTCATCACCAAAAAGGGGCCCATAATGTTGCGAATAACCACATATATATACGAAAGGGGCGCGGGAGATTTTCATATTTGGGAGAGGGCATTGGTAATCCTCGCAACCAGACCGTGCCTTGTAGCGGCTCCAAGCGCAGCAGGCGGCACTCAGTGGGCTCTCGCGGAGCCAACGGATCCGGAGGTGCCTGAAGCAGAAGAAGCAATCCCCTCACCTCCCC